ATTTTGGCTACCGGGTGTGGAAGTGTCGTTGAAGGAAGTGCTATGGCTTTAGGAAGGATTACTCGGTTTTGACTACTGTAGAGTTTGAGAGTAGCTAATAAGATACGACCAGAAGAAACAATGGACCTCTTCTCAAGTGCGAATCCTACAGCCAGGTAAAAGTCTTAGGCTGAAGGACTCGCATTGATTCTATATTTGTGTTGAGTATTTTCTACACTAGACTCAATATTTACTTAAGTGTTTCTCTCACACGCGGGAGTCCCGGTATCATCTACCGGTAAACCCGCTATATTTCTGATCACTCTATCATCAGAAATATTGGATCCCAGATTCAAAACTCAGTATTTGATAATCCTGGGTTTTGGGTTTAGGATTGGCTTTTCTGATAATATGGCCCCTGGATGCTACAGCCCCCCCAACTTTATGTTTCTCAGCCTGCGTAGGAGTAAAAATGACATCTTATAGGACTAGATTATCTAGATGTTGGTGTTTTTGTACAGGGAAAAACTTGTCTTTTAGGGGGCATAAGATGAAAAACCTGCCACCATTATCCATTCTAGCATATTACTTATTGAATTATTTTATACTGGATAACAGGAGTACTCTATCACGCTCATCGGAGTCAGTCATGACCTGTGCTATAGGTTGATCTCAACTTGGCTTAGGAAAACGCATCTCAACGGTGGCTCTCCATCGAGACTTTGGTCCTTATCCCTCTGGCGTGTGGGCAGAGCATGCTTCAAGGTGAGAAAGTGGGAGTGTCCTTTAGTGTCAGTGAAACTTGGCTAAGTTCCCCTTCTCGTGCGCTGCCTGTTGCTCGCTGATCGTTCATCAGTCCTGGTTGCTGTTGACTTCTACGGCCTGTATTGCCTTCGCTTGTGTCGTTTACGCTGTCGGTATATCGTAAGAATATCTGGATCTGTGATGTCTGATTCATGTGTCCACGTGCGCTCTCCATCTGTCCATTGCAATAGGTAGTCCTGGGTTCCTCCACCTCTGGTGGATTCTCTATGGTCTAGTATCGAGGAGAATTGAGTCTCTTCTGATGGTTGGACTTGGTTGTTGGTAGTGGAATCTTTGGATTCGCTAGCCTTCTTGGCTTAACCAATTACATAATCATTGACTGAGTTAAGATATTCGGGGGCGCGAGTGCCATCAAGGTTACGAACGGAATATCTGTTGCCCTCTTTGCTTGCTATCTTGTACGGTCCTCCATATGGTGCTGTCATTTTATTCATTTCACCTAGGTAACGAACCATCACAAGGTCCCCTTCCTGGAAGTGTACATACTTCTCTTGATATTTGCGATCAAATGCTGCGCGCATTTTTTTTCTTGATATTGTGCCACATTGGCATCTAGTTGTGGTCGTATTGACTCCACTAGATTCTGTAGTCGTGTTTCCCATGTTATGGCTTTACCTGGTGCACTGACCGTTGAGTCATAATTGGTGTGTTGGTTTTGTCGTCGCCCATAGTACACATTGAACATTGGTGATTTGTGTCTGCGTGAGGAACGCAGGTTGTGGCCCATTTGAACAAATGGGAGACATGAGCACCAGTTACCTGGATTTTATTCAACAAATTTCCGTAGTAAAGGGATGAGGTCCCTGTGCGAGCAGTCATTCGCTCCCATTACTTTGGGTTGATACGGTCTGCACATTAAGTTTTGTGACGGTGCCTGCTCAATGGTTTTTGGGAGTATGTCATTCACGTATTCTGTGCCCTGACCCGTCTGTATGACTTGTGGAATTCCATGTTCACACATGGTTGAAACTAGTGTTTGTGCAACGGTAGCTGCCGACTTGTCCATCATCGGTCTAAGTATAGCGTATGATGAATATACAACTACAACTAACCATACCAGAACGTACTTGTTGCCTCTATTTGAGTCTATCAAAGGACCTATGATATCCACTTGTATTCTGTCGCCCGGGAATGCGGCGGTTATTGATTGTAAAGGGTGGAATCCCTTTTTGTGAATTTTGTTCTTGAGACATGGTACACAGCCCTCAATATATTGGTTGACCTGTTCCTTTTGTCTAGACCATGTGTGACCATCTAGTATGAGTTTGTTCACTGTTTCTTTGACAGTGTAGTGACCCACTGTGTGGTCGTGGGCTATGCGTGTGACTCTGTCTTGATACGTGACTGTGTTTAGCTCTGCGGACTCGTCCGCGATGTGTATGAGTGCAATGTTCACTGCAGGGTGCGTTAGTTTTTGGTCGAAGTATGGGGACTTTGTGCCTATTTTGGCTACTAATGTGACCCCCCATGGTGTTTTGCCACATGCTGTTGTGCCGTTCTTTAGGAATGTGTTGTTTGTGTTTTCGACTATCATTGGATCTTGTTCCAGTAATGACAAGAATTTGGGGAAGCATTTTGCGTTTGGGTAGTACGGAACGCAAATCGTAATGCTTGTGGCTTCCTCTGTGACTTTGTCTAACACATCTGGTATTAGTTCCCAGGGAGGATTCGCCCATGCGTTTATTTCATCTACCCACTTTTGTAGAAGCGCGTTTTGTTCTTTGGTGAATCGTGGATGTAGTTTCCAGTCTATGGCAGACATTAAGATGGGCATGTTTGTTTCTAGGTCAGTGTATTCCTGACCATTGTGTATGTGCTCATTTGCTTCTTTCAACACATTCGATGTTTGGATGTTGAATGTGTCTTCGTGTAGTCTTGACAATCTGTCAGCAACTTCATTATCTTTGTCTGGCACGTGTATGATAGTGAAGTGGTGATGTAATGTTTTCGCTATCCATTTCGCGAGCATGGGATGCAGCGTTTGCTGCTTGTTCATATGGCATATCGCTTTGTGATCTGTCCACAATGTTATATCGCCGCCTTTGATGTATTCTGAGAAATGTTTCAGACTGTATACGAGTGCTAACAACTCTTTAGTATTTGTCCCGTATCTTTTTTGTGCAGGGTTGAGACCTTTTGAGAAATAGAGTATATCTCTTCTGACTCCATCTACAATTTGGAACAGACATCTTCCTATGCCATAGTCACCTGCATCGTTCATGATCTGAAACGGTGCTTCACCACTCAAGCTGGTGACTAAACATTATGTACATGTAACTAACCAAATATATGTATATCTATAAACATCTGGGTGTTATTTACAACTGGTCACTGCGACGTTTCCTGGCTCGTGTCTGTGTATCCTTATGATAAGCTACAATGTCATTAGCATCGTCAAAAGCATCAACTGTTTCCCTTGTTGGCACTCCCTCACGCCAACGCACAAGGTATTCCAGCTTCCCCGTATCATCGTTCGTCCGATGTTTGATAATGTGACGGAATGCTGCGCCACCTTCATGCCACAGATCATCGTGCAATGGAGGGTCCGGACTGCGGTGAACCAACCGTAGTAACTCTACGCGAACCAGCTTCCCTTTAAACTCCTGGGGGGTGGACCCATCTCTATGTGTGAGATCATAGCCCTGACCGTTGCGACGCTTGACTACATACGGGCCAAACAGAGGGCGCATAGCTTTGGAAGTGCGTCCCTCCGACTTCACCATTACTACATCACCTTCCTCGAAGTGAACCAAGTCAAGTGCATGTAGACGGTCAGATGTCTTCGTTAATTTGTCCGTATATGCCGTAGTGATCTAATGCAACGTAGGCAAAATCGTATCCTGCAGCTGGTTCAGCCGTGGTGCCCACGTGTCATTGGTCACGGGTTGTTGCTCGGGAACATCGTCGGTAAAATCTGCAAACGGAACATGACGGCGGCCGAAATATACGCTAAACGGCGCGCTTTTGTGTCGTCGGGAGATACGCAAATTCTGGTAAAGCATGGTAAACGGTAGCCGTTCGTCCCATGCCTGAGGTACTGCCTCACAGCAGATGCGTGTCGAGCGTGTTATCTCCTTGTGTCGACGTTCTTTTGCGCCCAGTACTTGCGGTCTGTATGGTGGCGAGATCTTATGGAGTATACCTACTTCTTTGACAATAGGAGCTACCATGTTATTAGTAAACTCCGTCCCCATATCGGTCTGCAGCTTGCGTGGGAATCCATGTTCGCCGAGGATGGCCAGTAACATTTGAGCGGTTGATTCCTTAGTCTTATCGGGTGTGGCGCGTAATATCGAGTATCCGGATGCGACGTCTAACACATGTAAAACAAATTTATTCTGTCGGGAGGATGTCACCGACATTGGGATATAGTCCACCTGAATATGGTCCCATAAGTACTTCGCATCAATACTCATCATCGGATGGAACCCTTTACGCAAGGTGTCCTGGCCCAAACACTGACCACATCACCGTTTGATTTTAGTAGCTAGTTCAAACGTCCCCTGCCAGACATACCCGTTCTGTTGCAACTGTTGGACAGTATCGGCGGCGCCGTGATGGCCTTGCTCATGATGCGCCTGTGTGAGTTGTGTCCGCCGTTGTTGTTCCATCGGAGTGGCATTCTCGAACGCTGGTTGTGCCGCTTCACTAGTCAACGCAACGGAAATCTCCCGCGCAGTGTCCAAACATTGATGGTGTGGTGTGTGACGAGGCTCGGCGTATCCTAACCGTTGTGTGAAGCGCTCTGCTAGTTGGAATCCCGACGGTGGGCTCACTCGTGCCACCACCGTGTGGCCCCATGGAGCCTTCCCGCAAGCATACTTCGCATATTTCAGAAATGTATGCGGGGTTCGGGGTACTACCACGGGCTCGGCTTGCAGTAATGATTTGAAGAGGTCAAACCATGGTGCTCGCGGGTTTAGGGTTTAGGGTTATCTGTTTTGATATTCCGTAGCATGCGGTGTATCAGTTTCCATGGCGGGTTTATCCATCCATCGACCAGCGCCCAGTCATGGTCAAACGCCCCATTGCGGTCATTCTTAGTTCAGAACCTGGACAGCTGAGCGTTGTGAGGTGCTGCGAATACGTCTATATTGTTATGGCCAACGATACGTTGAGCCTGTTAAAAATAGCTGGGAAATAGTTGCCAGCAGTCTGCATACAGCACCTCTGGTACATCCGTCTCCGCCGTTCCTTCATGTATCCGACTGAGCATGTCCGGTAGTACGTTCTTCTCCCCCGGTACTGTCGAATGTCGGAACCGCTAGAAGTGGATGATTAACCGTCGTCGGTGTCGTACGCTTCGTGATCACCAAGTCTTTTAACCATTTCTGTACTTGTTCGTCGACGTACGGAAGCCATCGATCGGATACGAAATTGCGTGTTGACCTTCTCATGCTCATTGCTTGCTCGCGGGTGACTGATATCGCCACCTCACTCCCCTCTAAGCGACAACGTACATTGTCCTCAATAGCGGCGTTCGTTTCTAAAACTGTGGCAAGCCGTGCCCGCACTCCGTCTGGTTCGGTAACGTCGGGGGGCTGGCGGCGAGCCACTGGCTTGAGAAGGTCGTCGAGCTCTGTTGGGTCGATAGGTGTCGGCGGTGATTATATCCCTCCCAGGTATAATCCTAGATTAGGCATCATATCGGGCCCAAGTATGATATCGATACCGTCGGGTAGATTCATCAGTTCAAACGGCCTGTTGATAATCTCGGAACCATAACGTATAGGTAGTACCTCTGTTGTTCCCAGCCGAGGAGTACGGGCTGCCTTGTTTGCTAAGTATATGAACGAACCAGTTGGTGCTGGTGTGATTGGTCGTCCTAAAAGGTCTCGGATGACCGAGCAATGCAGCTACGGTTGGCACTGGTGTCCACCAACGCACGGAATGTACGCCTATTCACTTGCAGTTGGATATAGACACGGTTATCGGAAGACAGCAGTGGGTCTTGGGTTGCCATTGCTGCCTGCCATATCTGTGTCAGCGTAAGTGCTACATCATCGTCGGTCACCCTGACGTCTCAGGGTTGCTCCGAGAACGGAGTCCATGACGACTGCGGTGTAGTCGGATAGGAATCGTCGCCTTGTCCAGCTTCCTCCGTCAAGATCGAATGTATATGTATCTCTGTGGCAGACTGAGTGTCGTTCCTGGGGACGTCCTCTTGTATGACCACATTAACCTGTAGTGTGGACATGTTTGTCGTTGCCGCCTGTTGGAAAATTGCGACTGGTGGCGTTCTTGCCCTTGCGGTAGCGTTGTACGTTGCTGTGAATATTTGTATCTGACGATCGCGATCTATTGTCCTGCATCAGTGGTGGCACCGTAAACCCTGTAGTGGTGGCACCGTGGTATGTGCCGGAGGTCTGAAGGTGCTTGCGCCCGGCAGCTGTTACATGTGGTTGCTGTAGCCGTCGCTGTTGGCCGTTGTTGCCACTGTTGGTGTTGACGTTGACCTATATGGGGACTGGGTCGACCTGTCGCCTTGTGGTCAGAATACAAGTATTTAGGTTTTAGTGTTTATTTTAGCTATTATAGCTTTTTACAGTTTATCAGAATAATCTGATAAACGTGGTTTTTGCTGACTATTACAGCACATGACTTATAACTCACTTTTAGAGTCACTAATTTTACAATTACTAATAAATGGACATCGTCTCCCTCTCTACAGAGGAAGAACATTGCGATACAGTTATTGAAGCGTTCGTTTACCACATTTTTAACTTACCAAGGAAGTTGTGAGTTTATTAGTAATTAGGAAATAAGCTACTTTATAATAATTGAATGAAATTTATTATATTTTTCTACAGGAATACGACGAACGAAGAAAGAGAATACCGATTGTTATAATAGCAAAAGTAAGATGGCGCGACAAAATGACGAAATCTTTCAGAACCTACCCGAGCAAAGGACGATTCAGGCTCAATAGAATCAGTATGGCTAGACAGCTCGAACGTTTCAGGCTTCCTAGACAGGTAGCTAACTTTACTGTGTCTCCAAGAACGGAGGCAAACAACGACACTACGACCGAACCCAAGGAGCCTACGATCAAACCCAAGAAGCAACCGAATCAGGAACAGAAATCCAGGACAAGAAGGGCCAAACGGCCAAGACGAGGGTCCAGCCAGACGATCTGTTAAGTAGAAACGATGGTGCAAAATAGTTTGGTAATTATATGTTGTAGTAACAAATAGTATGGGTGAGATTGTAGGTTAGATATCGAGTTAGAACCCTATTCTGGAAATTTTTGGGTTAGAGGATGCTCAGTAGGAATTGCGTTAGAGAAAAGAAACCAGTGTATATAGTGAGTAAGATCTAATGTGTTGTATGCATAGCAGAACTCGGGAATATAATCAGGAATGTTGCTCCTATGGTAAATGAAGCAAGTAGATACAATACTACAAGAAATACACCCTAACTCTAGGCATAGAAAAAGGGAAGAGTACTTCGCAATGTCCCAGTTAGAAGATACTGAAAGGGACTAAAACGATGGTTAGAAAGCAAGTAAGGACACAAAGAACAAGTCAGCGTAAACAATTATATATGTATACCATAATATCATAGGCATAGAACGTCACTAACGTGGTATGAGAGATTCTTCTTGACGAAATTGAGAGATCGAATGGGTAGAGAGTATGTACATATTCAAATGGTACCCAGGTACATGGAACAGAGAGGTTAGCAATAGGATCGTGGTACGATGCGGACTAATAGTACAATTTGAGTCTCACTGTAAATCAAAGAACCGACTTAGAAGTTACAGTACATAGACAAGGGTGATATTTGGTAAACTAGGGGATGTCGAGGTAAGAATTATATAATGCACAGTTAGAATCCACAGAGGCACTAGGAACTAATTGTCTAAGCAGGACTTCGTGTTAGAGGTGCTCGAAGGAAAGTACCAAGCAGGATCTAGAGGTATGCAGAGGGCTCCGTAGGGCACGACAGGCCGACACTGGGCAGTTACATACCAATAACCGCGACGGCACGTGCAGCTGCGCAAGGGAGTAAGATTGGCGAAGGAAGGGGAGTAAAGCAAGAGCTGTGGAGCTCTCTAAGGAGCAAAAGTAGGTCGCCGAAGAAGGATGTGACTCCACTAGGAGGTGGGAGTAGCACCCAAGGAGTGTATGGTGAACCCCGACAAGTACTTCATCGAAAAACACCATAGTCTGCTGGAGGCATGAGCAGGATTCATGTACTAATGTACCACTCTGAAAAGGAACGTAGTATAGGGCACGGAATAAATCTTTCCAGGCAAACAGTGTCGAGACTTGTTGAGATGAGAAACGATCTCTAGGACGGAGAAGTATTTATGCTCGACCTATTTCGAGGACATTTACATACATGTCCAAACATCCATTGATCTACACAACGTACTATTATGTCCAACCTACGTCAAAGCCGTAGGCAGCAACATCTGACCCCTGAACGTCGGGAGGAAGACGACATAGACTGTCGAGGGACTAAGCGCCGCCAATCTGTCACGGACCATACCGGCCAACGAGCTGAGAACGGACGGATGGAACCACAGGATGGAGAGGTTCATCACCCAGCAACGGCTAACAATAGACAGGCATCTAAGACACCCAGGGGTGATATCAGCCTAACAAAGGAAGACGTTGTAATTAATGACGAGGCCAAAGGATATCCCGACCTGCGTGCGGACAGGGGGCAGTCCATTACTGGTGAACATGTAGCTAGTAGTAGGCTGTCCTCCTGTTCGTCTTCGGGTATCTCTGGTGCCTCATCTTCCGGTAACGAGCAACCACGCATCCCACCCAATAAGCGTAGGCAACACCGCCGTCGTTCCAACAACAAGGGCACAGTGCAGGGCCAGTCGTCGACAAAGAAGCTAACCGAGCTCATGGCACAACAACAGTCGCTCTTGGAGAAGTACGAACAAAGGCTGAAGCGTACATCTTCAGAACGACCTACGACAGTGCTGTCCGCGCACGAAGCGTTGACTAGCCCACATAAACGGGGGCATAGGGCACGAGGTAGGGAGGACAATCCCACGTTTCGTATCCAAGGCCGTTCACAACAGCACCATGGACTCGGGTACGAATCACCTGGGTCGGCAGATCAACTCTCCAAGGAGGAAGAGACTTTGTCGTCTCTGGAGGAGGCTCCGTCATTCCAAGAATTCGCACGTGAGTAGGTGTTGACCAAACAAAAGCCACATGGGCAGGAAGTGCTCAAGAACAGGCAGGACCAAATGAGCACGACCTATCGCCAACAACAACAGCGACAGTCGTTCGAGAGGGCAGCAACCAGTGAGCATGTACAGACGCCCAAGCGAACGGAGACGACGTCGCTCACACCTCCACCCACACCGGCGAGTATTGAGAAAAGTCGACAGGTGCTATACGCACGTATACTACACTTGAGCGACGAGTTATGCCAAGCAATAGAGGATAATATTACGGCTCGAGCTGAAGCTCTTAGGGGAGCGATCGAAACACTTCGAGCCACGCTAGAGTCCCGTTCAGTGGAAAAGCGTCCGGTACCATCACCTCGTACACGGCCCTATTGGCCCTCGAATAGATACCACCTCCACGACATCATGGAACGGGACACGAATGGGGGCTCTACTGGAGGTTTTTAAGAACGCGCAAATCGCAGGGTTAGACGAGAGTTGGAGCCTTACGTGGTTCCACAAGGTATAATCTTACTTTAAGGCTGAGAAGTCAACATTGGATTACATACGTGACAACTCTGAACGGTTGAAGATGTGGATGCCACAACTATAAATCGAACAGATTTGCTCGCACGAGACTCAAGCCACTGTTGATTCCGCGTTTCGTAAGCTTGCCAAGGGCCACAGCCGCAACATGCACATCCCTATTATGGAACATGACATAGCTCATGGAGAACCACAGGATGGCACGTGAACGATGCCAGACGGATGCAGACTTCCAACAGAATTTATTAAACCACTGCATTGTTCAACTATTAGAGGAAGCTCTCAACGGCCGTACATATGAACGCACTCTACAATTGCATCCCAAATGGCAGTTAATGAAGACTCACGAGCTTCTACAGTTGTTGAGTCCCGACATTCAGGACGCACAGCAGTGCACTACGGCTCGACTCCAGAACCGGATTAATCACGAAGGTCCACCAAGTAATGGGGCTCATGACTACACCAATAGCCGCCTTAACCCGCAGGCGGTTCGACGACAATAACAGAACTGGGCACAGCGACCCCAGCCGACATTACCTACAACGTGTGCTGGATGTCAGGCACAAGCACCGCCAGGTTCACGTCATATTTCGTGATGTCACCATTTCCGAGCGTCGCCCCCAGGGGGTACGGACGGCAGGGCGCGGCCGTGTGACACCAACCGCACATCGCGAGACGCACAACCGGCACACAGACTATCCGCAGCTCCAACCTTAGGACAGGGACAGCCCAACAACCCAGGCAGAGACTTGGTCACTACACGCCCGACTCCGCAAGTACAGGTGAACGCGATTACAAACGACGACAGTTTTGTACCACCATCAGCAGCTACAGAGGTACACATCAGCTCGATACTCACGGAAGACTTCGAGCACACAATACTGGAACCAGACCAGGACCACGGTATATGAGAGACTGTTACCGATCGAGCATGAGATATGAGGGTGTCTGAGTCGGATATGAGCTTCACATTTGTTAATATTATTAGGAAAGTGATGGCGATACAGGACCCATTACTGTCTTCTGATAACCGAGTTTATATTCGAGTGCAAGTTAACGGACGTACTTTCAGAGCATTGATAGACACGGGCACTGGAAAGTCACTAAATGTACATAAAAAAGTCTCTAAATGTACTTTTTAAATTTTTTGTTTGAAAAGTTTGAGAAAGAAATTGAATATCGCATTTAGCGATTTTAATTGGGCAATTATAAAACGTACCCGTAAATCTGTATGTACATTTAGTGACTTTTCCATGTAGGCCATGTATATTTAGGGTATTTCCTCAAGAAGATACAACGCATACATAACGTTGTATATCCTTGCTTGCGAGAAACACGCAATGTGGCCTTATTAAAAAGGCAGAATAGGTGGAATGCTACCAAGAAGATAGCAGAGTATCATGTGGGAGACAGAGTTAACATCCGTCAATGTAATTCCGATGCTACTATATTAACATCTAAATGGATAGGACCATATATAATCTCTGTAGCTGACACTAAAAGTGGAACTGAGGTAAATAACCCCGACGGTTCTAGTGCTCTAAATATAGGCACTAGCAGGATTCCGACTACTGAGATTATCCTCGCAAGAAGACATGATTCTAATGCCCTTCTTGACCGTTCCGAATTTAAAGACACTTTATGGAGAACGGATGAAGAAGGATATACATATTATCGTACACGTTTTATAGGCGGTGCAACGGCTGAATTAACTTCAGACGCTTTTGACAGTCAAAACTATTTAAAAGCCTTTAATAGAAATGACGTAAGCGCCTACATAAGTCACAAGCTGAAAAAGATAGCATGTTATCATCATCTAAAGGCACGGAAGTTGAAACTAACCCGCCAACAGCATTTATCCCGAGCAATACTCATCCTTCGTATGTTCCGAAAACATTGAAACAGAAGAAGCGTCCAGTCGACCACCACGGACCTATTGGACCTAAGCCCAAAACTCACAGGGTAACCGAGAACGCTTAACTTCTCCACCTGAGAAACATTAAATATATGTTTTGCTACTTAATGTTTCGACCCGTTTTCCTTTTCTCGCTTTTTTTAATCCCAAAATCAGCTTGAGTGAGCAACTAGCCTCTCTTGGGTCAAAGCTGGGTGGGGGCTGTGTAATAGCCGGGCCTCCACGTTAGAATCTTTTATATAAACGTACTCCTAAAAGTACCTAAACTTATTTTTCCTTAAATGGTTTTTAACGAATCTATTAATTAAATACCTTTTCCATTTTACATATCAGATATTTAGACAAGGCCATTAAAATGCCTGATTAAAATGCCAACGATATGATTTGGACTAGTTCTAATAATATATCTATATTTACTTTCCAAATCTATTTATATCTAATACCTCGGTAGCGAGATGGCTCAACCGAACATAGGTTTCTAGGGACTATTAGCGTTGCCTAGTTTATCCTCCATTCAGCCATCCAGATTTGTCAGTCTGATCAAGGCTAGTCGGTAATTCTTGATAAGTGGCTAGTTATTGGTTAAATCAATAACTAGGGACATCAAGAGTATTTTAATTTTTAATTTTTAATTTTTACTTTTTCTTCTTCTAAAGATAGGATTTTATGAGTCTCTCGGATTCGCCCCAACGAAACATAGTAATAGTTGCTACTAGAGCGACAACGAAAAGCTAAATAAAATCCCTTCGGCGAAACAGTACTGAGAGGATTATATATAGGGAATATCCCAGCCTCACAATCCCTCAGAGTATTGCTGTTTTCACGAGGCATACCTTACTTTACTAAAAGACTAAAAGACTCATTTCTTTTATTTTCCTTTGAATTTAATTAAACTTAGACCTAACTTAGGCGTTTAATTACTCTAAGTCGCTAGTATCGCCTCGATAGACCGTAACTTACAAGGTGATGACTCATCCGAAACCATAGAGACAGGTATTTTCACAAACCCGATGGTAGAGAAAGTCTCGTTACACAAAGGATCGTGATTAATAAATACAGGGTTTTGCATCGTTTACTTAATGAGTGTGTGCATCGTTTACTCCATGATTGCGTGCATCGTTTACTTAATGAGTGTGTGCATCGTTTACTCCATGATTGCGTGCATCGTTTGAATGTGTAGCGTTTGTTACTAGTCTCTGTGCTCTACTATGCGCCCGTTTGAATCCGCCCAAGAGTGGTGATCCCAGCGTGGAAGGTAGGGGTTTGCATCGTTTACTCAATGAGTGTGTGCATCGTTTACTCCATGATTGCGTGCATCGTTTACTTAATGAGTGTGTGCATCGTTTACTCCATGATTGCGTGCATCGTTTGAATGTGTAGCGTTTGTTACTAGTCTCTGTGCTCTACTATGCGCCCGTTTGAATCCGCCCAAGAGTGGTGATCCCAGCGTGGAAGGTTATAGTCAAACCCTTTAAGTTACTGACAGTCTCGTTGACCTTTGACAGTGTGAAATGATCCCCCGAAAGCATTGAATTGCCGTAAGTCAAAGCACGCACGGACTTTGATGAGCTTTCCTGACAGTGTAAGCGTGGGTACCACCAGCAAGGGAAGGCTGACAAACGATATCGATGTCCGATGATTGGTGACCAACTCATGTTCCTGTTTGCGAACTTGCTTTGTTACATGCATTTTGTACTTGTCAGATACAAAATTCCGTGTCTATCGTCGTAGTCCCAATTATTTATCTCGAGGTATCAAAAGTGATTCTTCACTACCCGGTGTGTGCATCGAGCTGCATCCAAGATGGTCTCGTTAGCGTCCAGATACAGTCGTAAACGGTGATGTACATCCTACGGCTCTGACAGGCCGGGAGCCATTCGAAGATTAATCGGCTCCAGCAGTTCATCCATATCATTCCGATCTATTTCTAACACTCCGATGAATCCATAACATTCCGATTAAGCCAGTAAGATATATTCCCAGTTTTCCCATAATATCCGTACCCACAATTATAGCAATGTTACCTGTATGTTCATAAGCTCAAACGTACAGCCCTCGGTCGATGCTTTCCCATATTGATCCTTTGTCGAGTGCGTTGTACCCAAGCGCGGAGTGCAGAACACTTTGTCCGCCAAATAAATATAGCTATCCTTAGTTGGTGGCTTAACGGATAGGCGTGCCTTATCTGCGGATGCCTAGGTGATGACTGAACGGTTCGGCCCCGTGTCACATATTCTGGTCGTTCACTTGTAAAGTGACATATACACGGTTGTCAGCCTTTTACTACAAAAATTCTTGTTACCGTCCGACCAAAAGACACGCACATGTTCACAGTAGATACCCCAACAGCTCAATCCGAACTTGTCTCTTCTTCCCATCCTGCTGGTCCTTGGTCGTCTTCCATCAACTCATCTTTACTTTGTACGTATAACTCGTCGACCAAGTCATGAATATTCATTTATTCATTTTCTCCCGTCTCTGCTGGTGGTTGATCAGGCAACTGACCAGCGTCTACTAAGCTAACACGAGGGCCGAAATTATTACCTGACCTCTGTGGCGCGCGCGTCGCTGAGCCCATGGTCGATCTACGCTGCATCAGATCTCCACTTTGTGTGGGAGCACATGTGTTGGTCTAAATCGATAGTCGCTGTTGTTTAAAACATTTAATATGCATGTCCTGGTCCCGAGCGAGGTTCTGCTAACACGACCGACAACGAACACGAGGGTTCGATGCTAGTAGTGCATGTGGGTTACCTCGTGTATTCGCATCAGCTCGCAAGTATGAGCGTGAACGCGATCTTCCCGGAATCTGTTGCGGTCGCAATAAATTTTCCCAGTAATAGTTTTCCTGTGGATTAGGCGGCCAGTCCTTCGCCGTCCGTTTGTCGAACGTCATCGAGTACGTTTTCAGAGTCTCATTAGATGCACAATCAGATCCTGTAACGCACCCGCATCTTATATGCGTCTCTCTGTAGCATCTAGGGACCAAATTAACAAAAAGCCAATCCGAATCCCAAAATCTCAGAATCATCAAACATTGACTTTTGGAATTTGGGTTGGAATATTCCTGATATTAGAGTCATCAGAAAAATTAGCGGTATAACCGGTAATCTAAACCTAATCTCCGCGTTTAAGAGAAACACTCAAGTAAAATCCTGAGTCTAGTGAATTAGAAAACACAAATAAAGACTCAGGTCGATTCTCTCAGACCAGGGGTTTTTCCTAGATGAGATAACCGTACTTGAGAAGAGGTCTATTGTATTCCCTGGCTCGTACCCTTCAGCTACTCTCTACACTCTACATCTCTACTTCTGCTTGCATCATTCGTTGAGTAAGATGGAAGACTTGCACCTTCATATCTGCTGCTGTAGAGTGATACAATTCTCAGTAGGCTCTGATAGCTTACAACCTTTTGCCGCCTGTGGGTCATCCAAGTGATGAACCGGGAAGGTGTTTGCGGTATTCCAACGTATCCATAGGTACATTTGCTGCATCCTGACAATTCTCCTTCATCTCGTCCGGTGAACGTGGGCGACGATGGCTTTGTGGCTTGTCACGAAATAAATTCGCTGCCACCTGACCTTGATGAAACGGTTGCCGCGGAGACTTTATCACTCTGAGAAATACATAAAAAGGAACGCTTTGCCGATGACGACAAATTCTGTAGAGTGATCATTGCCAAGTGCAAATCCGCTGGGTCCAAACGATTCTTTCCAGAAGATTAAGTACGGCTGACGATTTCTGAATATTACTAGAGCCACAAGATTCTGTCGGCACCTCATCAGGTGCCGGGATTTTTTGCGCTCGATTTTGAGCGTGTTTCAACATACGCTCCCCGCGATCAACGTGTATATTGTCATGTGGTGCCACCTGAGGTAGGCTTCCCGCGGCCAGTTCTGCGTTTCACTGGGCTGATTTGCTTCATATCGTCACCCCCGCTGTTAGGTAAATGTCCAGTCTGTCTGTGTTGGGTATTGAGGAGCCCACCGTGTTTGCGATGTTGGTGCGACCTGATGCATGGAATAAATTTTCGAAGCCGCCTGCATCGTCCCATTGTCAGTAGTCGAGTCAACGTCCGCCGTGGAAATGTGACGAAGTTGGCGGAGTTGCCCACGAAATAAATGAATGATATCTGTGGCCTCCTATACATTCGTCAATAATCCCAAGTGGATTTCCCGATCAGCAATCAACTCAGGATGTTGTTTGGCCTTGTCCAGCGTAGAAATTGAGTGTTTGGCCTCAGGAACTAACCGATGGATTTCTGTAACGTGGATTTCTGCTTTACCTTTACCCTCGAGTGTCTGATCGTAGAAAAGACTGTCTCCACCTAAGCACAGATCAAAGGCAGTTGACGATGAACTCCGTGCAAACGTTTCCATAGACTGTCACAAGATTTTGTACCGGCGGAGTAATAAGTCATTTCAATATCTTAAGTAAGAAAAAGAAAATGATTCTAGTTAGTTCGATTTATAAAGAACGTAGTTTAATAATTATAGTAGTTCTCACGGTCACTTAAAAATGTAGTCAAGACCTAGCGCTCAGTAAAGAGTGTCAAGTCTTAATAAGTGAACTCAGTCAGAAGTGCCGTTTTGAACGCGGCGCCTGCTGTATTAATTATTCACGTTCCTATGTGGGACGAGATTTTCTCTAGCAACCAATGATTGTGAAAGTACCCGTATCTATGGCTTTGGTCTCTTAGTTACTAAATTATGATAAAGTCCGATGAGACTTCCTCCTCTCTCAATCAATTCCCTATTCCACTACCTATTCCGGTCCCCTGGTCCGGTCCTGAAATAATCCACTTAAGTCCGGTCATCTGGTTCGGTCCTGAAATCCTCTTGTAGGTGCGGTCCTCCGGTGCGGTCCCCTGGTGCGGTCCTCCGGTGCAGTCTTAAACCTCCGTCTAGGGTACTATGTCCCCAGAGGTACTGCCCGCCGCGGATACCCATGTTATTAAGAGAGATGCCTCTGATGGCGGAGAGATGCCGGCGCGCTTCGTTTCCCTTCGCTTGTCTTCAGAGGTTACACCAACTCATGTACCTGACACCCCATCTGGTACTGCGCCAACCTCTTCTGCATGGCAACCAAATACTCCGCTGCCGTATCTCAGCCGCCTCATCCGGGCCGTCTTCCTGGGCCTCCAGTTCATCGATGAACACTTTGAGCATCGCCCGGCCACACATAAAGACAGCTAACTTCTGCAGAACCTCGAAGATGCTTTCAGGGTGCTGTCGCAAGGTGACACACAGCGCAACCTGCGCCCAAATACCACACGAGAGGTGTGTGCCCTGGGGCCTCGGCGGCCGTGAACGATTGAAGGAGATATGTGGGCTACGTTTAAAGGCTAAGGTGGTGTGACTCAGCTACCAGTGACTCCACCACCTATCGGCATCCTGGTATGAGGGACAGAACCTTGGATATGCCAAGTGTCGCATTGTGTGCGACTTGCCTACTGTTCCTGATCGCGACGTGTTCACGTCAGATAAATGCCCACTTGGGCCTCCTGTCGGGTGTCTTGTCCAGAGGCTTCAACGAGCAGAAGGCCAGCTATTGCTACCAAGGTCGGCCCTGGCAGAGGTCACAGACCGGGAGCGGTTACAGCCAGAGTAATATATATCTGCACGAGGAATTGGCCAGTTTGCCGGAAATACGGCAATCTGCTGGGGTTACAGTTCCTACTTCTTGTTAGGCATGTACCACTTAGTCGTATGTTGAGGAATTTGTATATATACAGGTAAGGCATGGCGACTCATCGCGGGTCGAGCAGTGTGCACAACATCATCGATGTAATGAACCTGTGTCACAGTGCCAACAGACACCACACGACTTACTTCTTCTTCATCACCAGAATCGCTCAATAGAACAGGTAATTCACTGTAGGAGTCATCAACCGTAGCAGCTGTGTGTCTAGCGGACCCGTTTATCCGGCTACAAAATGTGTTCGTGGCTACCCCAAATCGATCTTTATTCTCCGACATATTTCGATATGACAGTATGCAGGCCAACAGCGTTCATCGCACATATTGCTGCTCTGCTTCAAAACCATCAATGTGCCTGTGAGCTTGAGAACGTGCAAGGAAAATACGATTATTCTTGAAAAGTTTTTGTTAAAAAAGTCACACCGGTTGATACTCTATTACACATGCATTGTTAGTGTGCAATGTAGTAGACTTGAATAAAGTACAAATGTATACATTTATTTCTGACCTCACCTTTGGTTTTATACCTAAGGTGTTTGTGCTATTGTTCAGCCACTTGGGCTGGCCAGGGTAAAAACTCATATGGTTAAAATGAGAAACCTTCTGCAGAACACTTCAACATCTCGATGCTATTCTATTTCAACTTAACTGCTACTAAATCTCATGCCGATCACATAATGTCTTTCCGCATAGGTTGTGACTCACATAGAGCCGCGGTTATTTTTTGAATGTTGCGGGTGGCAGCCTTAGTCCACTCTCGGGAGTTGGTTGAGAAACATAATCTGCTCTCGAGAGTCGGTTAAGCATTAACTCCTCTCTCGGGAATAATTTAAGCAACTTGATTAGCTCTCGGGAGTGAGCTAACTCTGATGACTTCTATAAATCAATGAGGGTTTCTTGCTGTAAAATCTGGCCTGAGACCTGTAATCTCTCATGCATGGGTCATCATACATGAAATCAAGCTACATGCTTCTATATTCCTGGACACCAGTATCTAGGCGCACTTAATCTCGGAAAACTGCTACATACCCAAAACGCCAGCCACTGGACCCGAAAGTATATTTTATTGTGAGTAAGGGTACTTCGGAGTGTGAATTTTGACCCGACACTCTACATTAGGAGGCTGAAGCTAGAGGCTGGAACTGCACCGTTAATATGGTCATGTAAGCAGATAGCACTAATCAGAATGCCATGAAATAAGTAAACTTGGCAAAATAACAACTACAAAGCACGCTGAAAATATGTACATATTGATACTTTAAGTTCGCTTCAAGCACATGTGTCCATATATCAACCTTACATACAACATATCTATCAAAATCATATGTGAAGTAGTCTCGTAGGGGTGAAAATACGAACATATTCGATTAGAGTTCGCATATCAAGCGAAGTTGGTGTATGTATACCACAACATCGACATTATCTTGGGGAGTAGTGGTCCGTGCTGAGACTCACCAATGCCATCTTCATTATTTAAATGATTGTAGATCTATGCACTCAATGATGATATTCGTAACACAGAATCGAAAAGTAGCGAATAAGAAACAGGCATTTCTACACGCTTTCTATCTCCCAGTTGCCAGCCGCCTTGTTTGGAGTGTGGCCCAAACACCAGTACTTTTTTTCCCTGATAGGGTAGGGGAGGGGAGGGGGTGTTATAATTCGTATCGCGCACCCGGCCCACTCAGCCAATATACTCGTTTATGACACAGAAGTGCTCGACCAGTTTTATACCTATATCGGAGTTTTCGATTCGTCATTTCGCAGTCACCTTAACCCTATCAGCACACAAAAGAAGTGAACTCCATCCCACCAGCGCACAATTCCAAATTGTGTAATCAATAGAATTTGTCTACCATACAAATATAT